AAAGTCTATATGATTGACTTTGGAAGTGAGAAACCCGTACGCACTTCCATCCCTTGGCTTTGGAGATTGAAGATTTGGATCAACCACAGCTACATGATGTCGAAGCATATTGAGAAAAGGCTGCTACACGATGAGTCACAGAAAAAGTTTTAAAAACTGAACAATGTCTCATCATCTGTGAAAGGCAGCATGTTGAAAAGATGAAGCGGCAATCAGTTGTCTTCTTTGAAAAAGGACAGTTAGAGCTGTGAAGTGAACCTAGGTAAAGCAACACAAATGGTACGAGGTGGCATGTTCGCTGCTACTATCGCGCCGCGAACGGGTGTCGTCCAATACCGCATTTACACAAAACAAGCTCAGCCCGCGTCGTAACACGCTTTCGTCTTGTACCAACCAGGTCTGGCCAACAACTGCATGTTGGTTCGACCAGTAAATTCATTGTGCGTCTCTGTATGCTGCAATGGGGATACCGCATGGCCACTCCCATGATGTGATTTCTTAGATGTGAGAATTCAGACCTGCTACTTTTCTTCTCATTGCTAATAAGAATGCTAGATCCTCGCAATTCCTAGCATTCGGGTTGTTAAGGCTCAGCACTACTTGTTTCACCGACTGTTGCTGCTTCTCGAGGCCGTTATTAAACAACGCTTTTCCCATAGCCATCTTACATTCCTTTTCGTGACCAACCATGTGATTCAACATCACAGGTCTCTCGCATCCGCGTCTTCTATTCTCTGCGCTCCTTGCTTTCTACACCGACTTGGCAATATGATCTTCCAAATGGCAAACTCCGCAAGCAATCAGAAAAGCTCCCTGCAATGCAGAGAACCCACCCATGGGTTCAAGTTACTGGATCCTCGTTACTACGACCGGGGAACATATATTTGTGCGTGTTTGTGGCACCACCTGTCCTTCTTGGACTAGCCAAATGGTGGGCAAAGAATTTAATGTTGTTTGAGTTGAAAAGTCTGTTTTCTATCCTATAGACACAATATGCTGTTTCACCCACTTGTCATCACATGCGCACGAACGTGCCGGCGTATCCTCATTCCTCATGCACCGCCATCGCGCTTGGCATACTCGTCCTCCATCCGCTCTTCATACAAGCGATCGGCCTCCTTCTCTGCCTCCGTCTTGGGCCGCGTTACTCCGGCGCCCGTGTCGGCGCCGGCTCCAGTCGCGACGGGGGCGGCGGGGGTGGACTCCGCCAGCTGCTGCGAGGTGGCCGCAGGCTGGGTGTCGGTGGCCGAAGATGAGAAGACGGGGAGGCCCATATTTGCGGTTTGGGGTGTTGTGTGCTGAGAGTGTTTAGAGGGGGTTGTGCTTTCTGAAAAGAGTGCTGGGAGATGCGGTTTTGCTGATAGAAGTGAGTTGGAGTTGTAAAGTTGCGCTCAAAGGTGGTGGATGGTTGGCTCCCTGTCTTATACCGCAGTGTGGCGAGTGCGGTACGTCACTTCCCCAACCAGTCTGCTTAGTGTGGCTGAAGCAGGGACGAGTCACATGCCAATTTTGCTCAGAGGCAGCCCAAGAGCAACAACTGGCACTTGCGGAAGACATACCTAACCCATTGACTCAGGAATTGACTTATTGTGCAACGTAGTAGGCTGAAAGTGAGGCACTCAGGTCCTCGTGGGCACAATTCACAATGGCAATTCTTACGTCATCGAGGAATCTTCCGTCAGCCCCTGGCTGGCCGGGGCCCGGGCTGTAGACGACGGAGATTTCGGAGTAAGCACCCAACGTAGTTAACAGAGTAAGCAGTGGTGATTCTTATTATCTGACCGCTAACGCGAGTGCGATGTTGATTAGAGGGGGTGTTGCCGTCTTTATTTCACCTAAATTCGACGACACTTCTCAAGTCTCACCAGTCTCGCCAACCTCGTGGACCGTATTTGTAGCGATCTGGCTAACCAAGCACCAACCGCATTCCAGCTCCCATTAATCGACTTACAAGAAAGGGTATTGTACATTAAATTCTTATTCCAGATAAACGCCACTTGCTGCGGGCCCTACCGGTGACGTTGTTCACTCCACCAGCTTCTTTTCTTCCAGCTTCCACCCGAGAAAGCCCTTAGAATTCTCTACTCTCACCGATATCGCAGACGTCAAAGACACCCACCTCGGCGATGTTTTGACGGCGCAGGGCATCTTTGAGCATCTTCGGTGGCTCCATGACCTCCTCTGAGGTCAATGCCCAAGTACCCCAATGAATACCCATGGCGCGCTTGCACAGGGTGTCCTTAAAGATTTCGACTGAATCGAAGGGGTTGGCGTGCATGGGAGAGAAGGCAGCTCGGGGAGCGTAAGCGCCAATGGGGATCAGACCAAGGTCGAAAGGTCCGCGCAGGTCACCGATCTGCTTGAACTGAGGGCATCGAGGGAGGTGGTCAAGTTCCGGAGCGTAGTCATCTTTGGTGGGAGGTAGGTAAGGGACACCTCGGTAGCCCGTATCGCCACCGAACCAAACCGACTTTTCGGAGGACCGAACGGCCCATGAACACCATAGGGTGGTGTCTTTGTCGAAGGGAGTTCTAGCTGAAGTGTGCTGGCAGGGCAAACATGAGATGCGGGCAGTGATGTTACGCTGCTTGTCTCCGTCCTTGACGGTGACAGTGAGATCGGCGTCCTCCCACCAATCGAGTTCGGTGACATGGTTCAGGCCGGACTTCCGGAACCATGTCTCTAGACCCAGACCGACGAAAAACTGAGCCTCGGGATGATATTTCTGGACCTCGAGGATGGAAGAATGCGACAGATGGTCGTAGTGGCTGTGGCTGATGACCACAGCATCGACAATGGGGATGTCTTTGATGTCGCAGGGGCGCGGGGTGTAGCGCTTGGGTCCCATGAAGGTAAACGGGGAGCAGCGATCTTCAAAGACGGGGTCGAATAAGACGCGCAGGCCAGATGGGAATTCGACATAATAACAGGCATGACCGAGCCAAGTGGCTCGGATCTTGTCTGAGGAGTCACGTTCGGGGAGAAATTGGGGCTTGACAACGGGGACTGTTGGAGGCGAAGTGTCAGGTTGCTTGATCTCGCCTGTGATTGTGGGCCTGTCGAGGAAGAAGCGAAGTTAGCTTGGGTATGTATCCCAAGTCGCATGGCGCGACCAAGACCACGAATGGGAGAGAGCAAGTTCTTACCAGATTACCCTTCGCACGATGGTACTGAAGCCGACGCTGTGGGACCAAGAAGGGTATGGGTTTTTGAAGCCTACAACCTCGCCGCGTTTGACGAGGTGGTGAGGGTTGGATGCGGCGTCTTCGGGGAGGGTGGAGCGACCAGGGATTTTGGAGACGAGGGTGGTGGAAGAGATGGAAGCAGCAGTGGCGGTATTCGACGTGACCTGAGCGGCGATATTTGGCACAGTTGCGGGAGTATCCACGGAGACCTTGGCTTGAGACTCGACAGGAGGGTTGGCGAAAGGATCTGTGGGAGGATTGACCGGGGCGTCGGATGTTGGTACTGGGGCGGACATTTTGAGGGCGGAAGCAGCACTGGCGGATGCAGTTGCAGTTGCAGTGGCAGTGGCAGAAGCGGCAGCAGCTTTGGTCGAATGATGCCAGAGGCGACGAGTCGGCAGCCGGAGGAGGCTTCTCATATGGCGAGCCCCAGCTGCTGAATAAATGTCAGGAGAGGTCGAGGTGGTGAGGCTCGAGGAGGAGAGGGAGGTAGGGAGGGAGGGAGAGGGAGGGGAGGGACGGGGTGGAATGGGAAAGATGCGAATATTATATTGCGAAGGTCACTCGTGAAAGAAGAGGAGGTGGTGGCAGGTAATGGAAGTGGTGGTGGGAGTACGTACGGTAGCGGTAAGTTTCTTAGTGGTGGTCAGTTAGTGGTGGCAGAGGTGATGGATCGAAGGAGGCACAGGGACCAAGACAAAACCCAAGCTCCAAGGATGGCACCCTCACACTCTCAGCTCCGCAGCCCAAAGCGCCCTAACAACCTAGACAAGACGGGCGGCCACGAGGCTCCGCTGCCAGATCTCAGACCAGGCGGATCCGTGTCCGAATGCGACGGATGCGACGAGATAAACTACGGTATCGCCGTTCGGATCACGGCTACAGCCCATGCAGTCACCAAGACGAACGGAGTCAGCTCGCATGTCATGCACGTCTCGACACCAGTACAGCCTTGATTCTCGCTCAATTCAGCCCCGATCTTCACCAAAGTCAGCTCCAGCTTCCATCACGACCTCCCGCACAAGCCCTGAGCCCGGCCTACAGCTCGTCGCCCATTCGCGATTAGCGGAGTTAGTGGCAACCTATGCCCGCTGCCCCGTCTCCGAACCATCCGTCGGACGCCATGGGGGGAACGAGAACCTGACTGGGGAGGGGGGCTATCGGTGGTGGTAGCCCTCTGGCCCAGTGTCCTAGCATGGTGGTGGGTTGGCTGCTTGAATGAGCCGTGCTGCGGATCGGACACCACGATCTATCCGAGTCCGACGGGGTTGGCACTTTGGAGAGCGAAGCCACATATCTTTTCTTGTAATCCGATTTGCTACGCCGTAGAGGTTGATAGGCAGAGGAGAGGAAGACGCATCTTACGCGTTGTTGTGCACAGATATAATTCATGAGTCAGTTAAAGATGATCCTATATTTCCTCTCATTAATAAACCCCGTAAGAAATGCCAAAAGTTGTCAATCCCTCCTTCCCATGTTCATCCATCTCGCAAGTCGCCATGGGACCCTTCCCCCGGTTGCACAACATCCCTGCTCACTCGCACATGGCATTCGCCCAGCGCCTCGTTGCGAGATCCCTGGAAGACCACTAGCCGCTGCCACGCCTGCCACGCGAGTTCTAGGGCAGCCCAGGCCCGTGTGGACGGTCCCCTGTGGCATCATGCCCCCGGAGGCCATGCTCTCCGAGGCCATCCATCCATCCGTTGGCGCTCCCTCATCCTCTGGTGTGGATTGCTTCATTAGTCCTCCAACAGTATTGACGTTTCCATGCCACCCAAATATCGCAATCATCATCGCGACAGGTAAAAAAGGAAGTGCCCATGGGCGGAATCGAACCGCCGTCGTCAGTGAGTCGAATTGATCCACAAACTGAAATGCTAACCACTATACCACATGAGCTGTGATGGTACTGTTCGAAGCGAATTGTGCTCCGGGTTGATGAGGAGTTTTGCAATTATTTTGGTAATTATACGCTTGGTCAATGTCCGAGCGATCCAATGGCGGAGACAGGCTTCCCAAGACAGACGTAAGGCGCTGCGCTACAGTGGGTATTCAGTGGGCCCACCTGATAGACTTCCACCAGGCGTATCCTCAACATCGACGCGCAAAACACCACGATGCCACTTCATGTGGTATTGTCTAATAGGCAAACGCCAACGCCAAAAAGTCACCAGGCCAGTAAGCCCTATCGTGCTTTGGAAGCTTGATATTATCTATGTGTAACAAGGTACAGTGTACGAAGTAGGTGTGCAGTCAAATCTCAGTCGTCAATGTATCCTCAGCTCCGGAGAAGCCCTTCCAACAGTACCTCTCAACCTGGTATCTTTCTCCACCGCAAGCAACATTATCATGTTCCGTCATCAAGAAGAAGCAAAACAAGCAAAAGAAAAGGACCAAGACGTAGCCTTAACAAAAGCTGGCTGTTGTCAGCCGATCAGCCACGACTCCGCCGTTCAACGCCCGAAGGAGAAACCTCCGTAAATGAAACGCTCATTAGTCATTCAGACTTCTGCGTCACAGGTCGACTGGCCGTGTGTCTTCACCCATGTCTTCGGTGCCCAGCTCCTTCTCTAGCTCGTCTGTCACGAGCCCCTCGTAGTCGTCTAGGTTCTTCTGGACGTGGATCTTGAACTTGATCACATCATTCAGCATGCGATCAATCTCAGTATGCAGCTCCTCTCGAAGGGCATTGGCTCGCAGTACCAACTGCTCGTACCTAAGACTCTAGTCAGCATATGTTTGCATGTTTCGGGGAATCGGACAATCTCGTACTCGATGGTTGTGTTGATCTCGCGCTGTTCCAGAAGCTGCACAGACTCTGACAGCCCCGCTCGCATCCGAGACAGTTCCTTTTCCATCTTCTCAATCTGGGCGTCCGACGCCAGCTTTTGCGTCGTCGTCACTTCTTTGGTCTTTTCATACTCCTCCTCGGCTGCTCGGGTGCGGTGATTGAGCGCTTCAACCTCGCTTTTCCTGTCCTCGATGGCCTCCTTGATGCCGTCTAGCAAGTCGTGGTCTTTCATCATGACGTCCATGGCTGTGGCGCGTCGCTCCGAGATATCCTTGCGTAATGTCATGAAGCTGCTTCGGATCTGGCCTCGGAGGTCTAGATTGAGGATGTGCCCGTGTAGGTAGCCGGTGGTGGCATCGGCCAGCAAGCGGTCTGCTGATGATGGCCCAGCAGAGCCAAAGAGATTGGATGAGGTAAAGTCGGAATTGTCGTTGACCATGACTTGCAGTTCAAAGTCCTTGCCCTTGGCATTGGCCGCTGTTGATGGGATGAGCGCGATTTGGTACGCCAGCGTATTGTAGTGGTCAACCATTCGTTCCAACTCGTCCAGTTTTCGGCTCGCCTCCATTTCCTTGTCAGACACCCTCTTCTTCACCTCTTCGAGCCTTTGGGATGCGGATTCAATACCCTTTTGCAGCCTCTCACGATCAGATGTCATGCGGTCCATATCCTGCATGCTGATCCCTTGTGCGTCGACTGCCTTTTGCAGACTGCGCCGTTCCTCGTCCACCTCTCTCAGCTCTTCAGTCAACTTGTCTAGTTCCTGCTGAAGAAGGTCGGCTCGGGCTTCGTACTTGTCTGACCGCTGCGTGGCCTGAGCATTGTACTTCTCAAACTTAATCCTGTCCTCCTCCATGATCTTGAAGTCGTTGTCCAGAACAGCAGGGTCGGGGGTCGCTTTCTCTAGATCTTCAATCTCCTTGAGGAGTCGCGCATTTTCCGCCTCTAGCATCTCGAGCTCAGACGTGTATTTAGAGTTGGACCGCTCAAACGCCCTCGCCATTGATTGGACGTGGGGAGCCAGCACGCGCTCAGCATCTTCGTCGCTCATATCTTCGTCCATGGCAAGCCAGTCTCTATACGCACTGCTGAGAAAATCAAAGATGATGCGGTCACCAGTGACATCTGTTCCAGCGTCCAAACAAGCCTCGTCATATCTGGTAGATGCGTAGCCATCGAGCATTTGTGCCAGTTGCATCATCCAGTGCAGAAGGCCCAGGAAGGTGCTCCAGTTCTGGCCTCCGACGGCTGCGATTTGGCTCTTGGTGATGCTCCTCTCAAAGGGATACCGCATCTGCTTTAGTAGCGGGGGTACTTCTTGGTCGATGTTCTTCTGGAACTTGTGGCTCGGATCGATGCGGTGATAAATCCATTGGAACATGTAGTTAAAGTCCTTTTGGGTCGGTGACTTCAAGACATTTTGCGACAGGACGTGCTTCATCTCCATCTCGAAGTTGTGTTGCACCATGTAGTCCAAGAGCTCTTGTCCAATTCGGGCTTGGAATGATCGATCCTTGAGCGGGCGTGGGTCGCGAGGTACGCCGGCGGTTTGAGGCGTAGCTTGGAAAAAGCTCTGGTGGCTCGTCGGTGCAGCAGTGGATTGACGTGGTCGATACACGCTGCTACGTCGGTCAGCATCACCGCCAACGGAGGCGCGTGGTGCGCGGGAAGGCGGGGCTGGGGTGAAAACACCCTTGGGTTGCTGGAACGATGAGCGCTTGACCGACGATAGGCCAAGGTCAGCAAGGTTGGTGCCGGACGAGGATCGTTGGAAGAGGGGCTGGTTGGGGCGCGACATGGCGAGGGACTGCCTAGATCCCGACATGGAGCGGACATTGCTGCCGGGATAGTTGCCCGTGTTGCTGGAGTTGGATCGCTTCATGGTCGAACCTGGCTGGGGGAGCGCTGTGTTTAGGCTGATGCCGCCAAGTGTCTGCAGCGAGCGTTAGGGGCCGATTCGAGTTTGTCTCGATGCGACTGAGGCGTTTGATGCCGTGCATGGGCACTCACCTCCCTGGGTCTGCGGACGCTCCACAGGCCGGTGTCTTGGGACATGTTCTGAAGTAAGGGGAAGCTCACGACTGTGATGGTTTGTACGCACGGCACGAGCAAGCGTTGTAGGAGTCTATCGCAACGGCGGGGATGTGGTGATGATGGTGTCTCTGTGAAGTGGGATGCCACAAAAGCTGTGTTGCTGGGCGGGAAAGTAAACAAAGGGACTTAGTTGGCGCTGATTGGCTGGCGGCACTGGCTCAGGCACACCGCGGGTCCTGGCATTGGGAGCCCGAGCACGTGACACTTCTTGATATCACATCGGGAGCTAGCAACTGGCTGGCTGCTGACTGGCCGAGGCGAGATTGGTCCTCGGCTTACATAATCCCGCAATCGCGAGTGGAAGCCGCGGGCGAGTGTTCGCCTTCCCAGCCTCGGCCCAGATCGGTCACGCACCCCCAGGTCGGGACCAGCTCCGCGCCTCCACAGATTCCGCACTTACCCCGGAGCACATGCATTTGGTTTCTCCAGCCGCCACCTCGCGATCATCGCAACTCTCTCCTTCTCACGATTCTGCGATCTGGTGATGAGGTGAATGCCCGTCAGCCTCAGTCAACCATGGCTATTCGCGAGGATCTCGTCGCATCTGCGGTAAGTGTCTTCCCCCGATCCTCGCTCCTTGCTCGTTCGTCCCCAGCCACGTCGCGAACCATCAAAAGACTGACCAGCAACAGGCGCAATGTTAGTATCCTGATCATCGACCTGACTTTTGGCGCATGACTAACCCCGAGCAGTCCTTCTGGACCCGAGCGTCGCCTCCTCCTCCGTCGAGAACCGCATGTCATTCCTACGAACCAAGAACCTAACTCAGGAAGAGATTGACGCTGCCTTGGCTCGAGCCGGTGGCAGTGCGCCGCCTCCCCCCCACGCTCCCTATCCCAGCGCTCCGCCACCAGGACCTCCTGTTCCTCAGCAATACTACCAGCCGTACCCTCCACAGGCATGGCAGCCGCCGCAAGCTCCTCCGAGGAGGGACTGGAGGGATTGGTTCATCATGGCCACTGTGGTTAGCGGTGTCTCCTACGGACTCTTCTCCCTGGGCAAGGTACGGCTTCAAGATGATGGTCTGATGACTTGTCTGTTAACTCACTATTATAGCGATATGTATACCCTCTCGTTGCGCCCCCAACGCCCGAGAAGCTGGAGCAGGATAAGAAGTCCATTGAGGAGCAGTTCGATAGGGCATTTACCCTTGTTGAGCAACTCGCACAGGACACTGAGGAACTCAAGAAGGCCGAGAAAGAAAGAACGGAGAAGTTGGATAGCGCTATTTCGGAGCTGGAGACGGTCATGTCTGATTTGAAAGCGGCCAACCGTCGACGCGAAGACGATTCGCAGCGCATCCGAGACGAGGTCCAATCGCTCAAGGACGCCATCCCGAAGGCGATGGACAACCAAAAGCAGCTCACAGATGATCGTCTGAAGGAGATCAACACAGAATTAACTAGCCTGAAGACTCTTGTCTCCCAGAGGATGACTCCCAGCACCCCGGCCTCGGTCACCTCGCCAAGCTTCCTCCGGGGCACCAGTGGAAATGTGACTCCGGCGCCGTCCGCGTCGACGGTTAACACTAGCGCCGCCCCGACTGTCAACGGAGAGAAGTCCGCCGACGTTAACAGCTCCAACGCCACCACTCCCGTTGCCGCTGCCAGCACCCCGGCGCCTAAGACCACCGGTAGCCATTTCAACCGCGCGTCTACTTCCGGCCTCGGAAGTTCGGCCGGCAAGGCCTCGATTCCCGCCTGGCAGATGGCCATGGCCAAGCAGAATGACACGTCGTCGACGGTGGCCAAGGTTGAGGAGCCGGAAGCGGGTGGCAGCAGCAGCTCATAAGGGTACATTTAATCAGAGCAGTTGCTTGTATTATTACCTATGTATTTAGACCTAGGGCTATCTTGCATCCAGGATAATGGGGGTGAGACGTTTTTGTGTTCTTATGTCTGGCGTGGTGTTTAATTGCAACTATTTCTAGTCAACTGGACCTGACAAATCACGTCTTGTGTTAAATCGAATTTGTGGCGGAGAACCTACTTGATTTCTCTGTCCGTATCGAGCA